CAATTCCTAAAAATCTGCTTCCAAATTTCTAAAAATTTGCTACCAAATCAAAAAAATTGATTTTTTTTTATTTTTTATTTTATTTTTTTATTATTTTCGGATTTTTTACCATTTTTTTATTTATTTAATATTTTTTTAATAAAAAATATATTTTTTTAATTTTTTTTTAAACAAAAATTGAATATTTTTTTTACTCGACAGATTTACAACTCCGAATATGACTATAGTTGAATATGGCTATTATGTGACTACGATGTGTATAACAGTGTAATTAACATATTGTAGAAGCATAATTATTAAGATAAAAGTAAGAATATGACTATTATGTGAATGTGACTGTGCTTTGTAAAACATTATAATTAACATACAGTAGAAGCATGATTCTTAACAAAAACAACGAGAATATGACTATTATGTGACTACGGTTTATATAACAATGACAGTGGGAATATGACTATTATGTGACTAGGTTCTGCGTAATGTGACTAAAAGTAATCAACACTTGAAAAAACTTGCAATATTAATAGCAAAATACATTGCAAAAAGAAAAAAAATGACTACAAAAAAACAAAAATAACTAATGTGATCCTTCAATAATGGCCATCGAACATGTTTTTTTGTTGCGGTATCCAACTCGGTTGCACCGACTGCACTTAATCTTTCGTTTGATCTTCTCTGTTTAATATGACTACACTGTTGAACATATGCAGCACTACAAAAAAAAGTACAAAAATAACTAAGTTGTTAAACATGACTACTCTGTCAAATATGACTACTCTGTAAAATACACTGCACTACAACCGACTAATCTCGTAATTCAATGGGTTTTCCAGATCTAAACATTAAGAATATGCAGAATAACACAAAAATTAATAAAATCCAGAATAATTGAAAATCAATGTATGCGTTCATAACAAACAAATAATAGAACTGAAAATTCAGATCCATAACATATTCTATTGCTAGTTCGACAATTAATTCGAGAAAAATAAAAAAATAAAATTTACCAATTAATATAGTATATATTGGTATTCCGCGTTGAGAGAAGGGAAATCTCCATGTAGAAATTCGACGGAGGCGGCGATTAGGTGGGGGAGACGCCGCCGCCAATTTGTCCAGGCGTCGATGTGATGGTGTTCGACGAGGGGGGAGACGATCTCCAACATGGGCGGAGGAGGGCCTCCTGCGACGGGTTTCGGCCGGCGGCGTTTGAAGGGTATTGTTGACTCCGGCGGCGGTGGATTACAGATCTGAAAACGAAGGAAAAAGAAAAAAAGAAAGAAAAAAAAAAGAACTGTGAACAGAGCGAAAGAGCGAGAGAATGAAAGAGAGAAATAAAATTATATTACGTTAAAAACCCAACACATAGGGGCACTTTAGTTTTATCATGGCTGATAAGGGGGGTCTCACTAATTTAGATTGGGATGTGGGTTATAGGAAAAGTCTTTAAAGTCAATTGGGTTTAGTTTAAAATATTTTCTAAATAAGGGGTGTATTGCATAATTAGTAAAATTTCTTATCTTTTTTTTTCAATGATTATAGTAATTATATATAATAATAAAACATTTAATACAAAAAAGAAGACTAAAAAACTTTTTTCTTTTCTACATAAAATGTACATAACTCACCGAATAATTTATGATAGCATACATTAATTAATATACACATATTTATAGATTTGTCTCGAGTCTTTCCTATTTACTTTGTCCAACATTTAATTTCTGAATTAAGATTTTATGACTTTTCATTTAAAAATAATTTTGCAAATCATTCATTTGACTGAATTCAGTCAAAATTCAATTGAGTTTCTAAGAGTTGTGCTATAACATTAAATGAACAATAAAACAATATGGTACGTGTATAAAACACTCATTGTCATAATTAGAATAATTGCATGTATATCACTTTATTGCTCAAAAAGCAAGATGATACATTTTCCAATTATTATAAAAATAATGAAATATTGAGAAAAATTATGTAAAATTTGATATTTTTTTAATAGCACGGGGAAATAAAAACGAAGCACATTTTTCTTTCACTCAGAATATAAGAAAATTAGTGATTGATTATCTACAAGAATATTACATAGCACTTATCTCATGTGATTTGAATTTTGTGTACCTGACCCCTAGGACTTTTAGTATTGCACATTACCCTTTGTATTTTAATATAAATACACAATTTTTTGTACTTTCAAAAAAAAATTCTTCCTAATGAGTATGATTATTTACAAAGTAAAATAACATAGGGGGAGTTGTGTGCTGATATTAAAAGTACAAGGGGGTTATTTGCACAAAATTCAAACTAAAAGAGGGGTCATTTGCTTATACTAAAAGTATTACGGGTCATGTGCACAAAGTTAAAACCCAGGGAGTTAAGTGCAATTTCTCCTATAAAAAAGCACAATCAAGCAAAAATTGCAATAACTCCAATTATATATTTGGATATAAGGTTGTCAAATTTAACTCATTGTAAGAAAGTAGGTGTGAATATTCAAAGATGAGTAGGGTGGAAATTAAATAATTCTCATTTATTATGTGTTAGGTCCATAAATGAAAATAAATAGTACTAGTAAATAAATATATAAATAAATACATAAATAAAATCTAATGTGGATGCAGTAGTCTGCCTCATCAAGCAATCGTATAGCATTTACATCCCTTTGACAGAAGATTTTGGGGAACATTTATTTATTTTTTTTTTCATTTTTTTAATATATATATAAATAAATATAAATACATTATATTTTACCCTGTTCCATTTATGAACTGTAAGAATAACAGCACAGTAAATTATAGAGAGTCTTGATTAAGCATGGTGTAATCCGGGTCGGATACGGATCCGGATCCTGATCAAAGCCTCCGGTCAATGGTTTAGTTAATTGGGTCAACCATTTGGAATCGGATCCCCTCAATAATCAACATTTTTTTTCTATATTTTCTATCATTTAGAATTTTAATATTTTATTGATTTTTTTTCTCGCTTATTTGTTTTAGTTTCAATTAGTTTTCTTGATACGTGTGTCGAAAATTTAACAACAATTATTTTAAAAATTGAGTTTAATGTTCGTAATACGGTTGGTTCACCTAATGTTGGGAAGTTTAAGTATGTTATCGAAGTGCCTTTTATGTTCTTTTTCTTTCGAAACGAGCCAACCATGATTTATGCAGCCTTAACTAGACCTGACCACCGGTTCGGTTAGAACCGGAACCGGAACCGGAACCGAACCGGGGTCAACGGTTTTAGAACCGAACCGGAACCGGTTTGACCGGAACCGGAACCGGAACCGAAAAAACCGGTTCGGTTCCGGTTCCTCATTTTCGGAACCGGGAACCGACGGTTAGAACCGCGGTTCTAACCGTTTGAACCGGTTTTAAAAAAAAAAAAAATAATAAAATAAAAAAATTCCTAGCTCTCTCTCTCTCTCTCTCTCTCTATATATATATATATATCTATATATATATATAATATATATATGTCCGTGTATATATATATATCTATATATATATATCTGTATATATATATATATATATATATATATATGTATGTATATGTTTTTCTCTGTCTCTCTCTCTCTATCTCTCTCTCTATATATATATATATATATATTTCAGTATTAAGAAAAAAAAATTAAGTTTTTAAATATACTCTCTACTTAAAAAAAACTATTTATAAAACTGTTTTTTTTTTTAGTTTTTTAAAGTATTTATATATATATATATATATTAAAAAAAAAAAAAAAAAAAAAAAGGTATTATTAAGAACCGGCGGTTCTACCGGTTCTAACCGGGAACCGAACCGGAACCGAACCGCAAGGAACCGGATTTTTTCGGTTCGGTTCCGGTTCCTCCAAAATCGGAACCGGAACCGGCGGTTCGGAACCGGAACCGGAACCGAACCGAACCGTGGTCAGGTCTAGCCTTAACTAGACTTTAGATGTAAGCGTTATATATCATTGATGTATACACAATAACATATACATTTCAATCTCGATAAATTAATACAGCCTTAACTACACTTTAAATGTAAGCGTTATATATTATTGATTTATACACAATAACATATACAGTTAAATCTCGATAAATTAATACAGTGGCAGACTAACAAAAATCTATAAATTTAATAAAATTATAAATTATCGAACTAATAATTTAGTATAGTTTTAATGAGTCGGGACTGAAAGAAAATCAATATCTATTCAACTGTACCCGATCGGATGTAGCACGTATATATTTAACCGTGGTTAAAAGAGTTGCCCCCCTTAACCATTCTTGAACACTTTCGGGGGGTCGAAACAAACTTGAAAAACTGTTTGTTGCGCCCTTTATAGACAAACCCTAACCAAGTGTAGAAAAGGCTCAGGTGAAATTCTTGAATTTATGATTAAATCAAATCCTTTGCTTCCAAACACTATTTATTTCATTTGCCTATTCACTAACACCATTAATATTAACTTACACACAACATATGAATATGAAACGTGTGTTAATAATTTCAGAAGGGTTTATTGCATTTAGCCCCTGTATTAACTGTAATTGCCAAAAACCTCCCCATATTATAAATATTAGCTAAATCGGCCCTATGATTCAGTTTTATTATTAGCACAATACCCCTAAAAACGAACCGTGACGCTATTTTTTTAACAATTCGGTAGATATAAACTCAATTTCGGAACATGAAAACAGAACGAGATCGAATAATTAATCACCACCGCTACCAACCGATGCATTCAATGTCGAAAAAAAATAAAAATAAAAAAATTAATTAGAAAATAAAATATTTCCAAGAAGCATTTATATACCATTCTTTAAACTTATAAACCCCTGTTTCTTTCCCCCCTATCTTTACAAAAAAAAAAAAAAAAAAAAAGATGGGCCAATTCAAATAGAAATATTAAGATCAATCCTAGGTTTCTTCGCGGGCCCCACGGGCAACGGCACATCACCGTTGCACCTCGGGCACCTCGGGTCGCCCCTCGAAACCAGCACGTAAAGCAAGCACCTAGGGCATCCGGCGGCGACCGTGGCCGTCGACGACTTCTCGTCGCCGTCGCGATCGCGACAGCTGTCCTTCACCGACGAGGACGAAGTGGACCCCGGCGGGGAGGATGAAGATTTGTCGGACATGATCGATAAGGAGCGTTTTCTAGCGGTCTCCTTCTCGGCCCTCTCTAGGGCCCACCTCACCTTGTCGAGCGTGCACACGCTGCTCTGGTAGTTTGATGACGTGGAGGGCGACGACGTCAGCAGCTTTAGTTCCAACGAGGAATCTTCGAAAAGATTCAGCGTCGTCGTCGTCTTCTGGTTTGTGATTGGTGGGAGGTTTAGATCTTCTTCAAATTTTTTGTTGTTGTTTTCTGAAGTTGTGGAGGATGAGTTTGATGAGTTGCATCTTTGAAGATACACTTTTCCTGACTGCAAAAAAATTATTTGAATAATTAAGAAGCGTGTGTTTGTCTATAATATATAATCATGAATTTATGATCACTGCATGAAATGGAACTGTAGAGAATTTGAAATTTTTTAACTGTTTTATCACCATTGACTTCGGCTAAGAATATAGATAATAAACAAAATGAAATACACGCAGATGATGGCTTTTGCTTAATATTCATTATATTAACAAAATAAATAAATAATTTTGGTAATTATATGTATCAATTTATTTAAAAGCAATAAAGCTCCATTATTTTCATAAGATTATTTATTAATTATTAATTAGTATTATTATTATTATTAATTATTAATAAAAGCATGAATGAAGAATTAATTACCAAAATACACACAAAGTAAAAATCATTAACTTAGACAAGTGAAGTAAATGCTACAATCACAGTTTCCTAAATAATTATGAATTTACAATAAATGCAATTTAATGCACATAATTCATCCATAATCTATTAATTAATATACTGGAAATTCAGATTTTGATTTTGATCACAGAGTTAATCACAAAATCACAGGAAATATAACAAAAACAAAAATCAAAATCAAAATAAAAAACAAAAAGCAAAGGAAATTCAAATTGGAGTATTAATCCAAAAAAAAAAAAAAAAATTGAATTTTGTTTATGTTTTTTGATTTTGTGCAAAAACAGGTTGTACCTTTAAATCGAGGCGTTTTTCCCAGCCAGAGGGGACTTGTACGTCAAGGTCCAACTCCTTAGAATCAAGGGTACAACACCCCCCAAGCAAATCCCTAGTGATCGGAGCCGTCGATTTTCCCGACTCATTCGTATCGCCGCCGCCGTTCATCATTCTCACCATTGAACTCACATCGGCGGTCATCATTCCACCAATTACACTCTCTCTCTTCTCTCTCTCTAATTTTTTTTTTAAATTAAAAATAAATAAATAAATAGAAGAGAGAGAAACAGGAAATCTTAGAGAAGAGAGAAAAAAAACGAGACGAGAAAGCAGGAGCAAATAGATTTCTGCGATGGGGTTTATATTGAAGGGTGGTGGGGGGTGGGGGTGGGGGTGGGGTGGTTTTAGAGAGAAGGACTGGGGAGTAATAATGAATGTAACTAGGGGTCCGTTATATAAATAATAAAAAAAGGGATGCTTGATGATGACGATGGAAAATTACTATAATTATTTAAAGTGACCCATTATGAAGAATTAAATGAAAAAATCATTTATTTACATTTTTCGTATTTATGGGAAATTACTGACTTTTCTTTTCTGGTGTTTAATTAATTATAATTAGGAGAAATTATTGTTTTAGAGAGAGAGAGAGAGAGAGAGAGAGAGAGAGATTGGGAGGAGAGAGAAAGGAGAGAGAGGACCTTTGGCAATTAAATGCTGTGAGAGAACACTAAAGGACAGCTGTGAATTAATGCTACGCAAAATTACAAACACCCTTTTGGGTTTCCTTTGATAGCTCCCATTAATGTTTTTTATTTTATTTTTCTTATTTTGATATATATATATATTAAATGATAAATTGCACTTCACCCCTTATAAATTTCTCATTTTCGCATTTTTGCCCCTAAAAACTTGAAAAAGGGATACTCGCCCTTCCAAATATTATTTTGGTTGCACTTTGCCCCATAAAGCCAATTTTTGAAGGGTGTTGCGCAAAATGAATAACATTATAAAGGGGAAACGTGCCAACAAAATAGCCTTATTAAGGGGCAACGTGCAACAAAAATAATATTTAAAGTACAAACGTGTAATAAAACTACTTAATTCAGATGAATAATCCATCAAAGTTTTGCTATGGTGGAAATGTGCAACAAGTATAACATTTTGAGGGGCATTCACTTTTAAAAACTTTGAGGTGATAAAGTGAAAAATTGGAACTTTACAGGGGGTGATGTGCAATTTTGCCCTTTTTTTTAATTAATAATGCATTAATCACGTCTTTGTTTTTTTTTTTGGTACTGCAGGAACCCGCAGCCAACCATATAGGTGCACTGGGTAAACCTACACTCTCGTATAATAGCTTGCAAACCATACGAGAGATGTAAACCACACTAGGCTAACCATGTGCGACAAGCTCGACCTAGCGACCGTTGACAAGGGGATTCGAACTTGGGTCGATTAATCACGTCTTTGTTGTCTGTATTAATTGTCACCCGCCTTCAGTTGACACCTTTAGGCTCTGTTTGGCTTGCCTTATTTGGATTGTGAATCATATTTAATTTTTACTCTTTAAATATTACTAGTTTTTTATGTTTATGAATTGGAATCCATACGAGATTTCGATTTGTAATTTTTCGAATGTAATTACACCAATTTATACTTGTAAATCTATTGTGTGTGTGTGTGTGTGTTTTTTTTTTTAATTTGACTTGATTATGAAAGTAACACGTGTTCGCATTCAATATGGAAGAGTTGAATTACAATAATACTAATACTATATTACTAGTAAAATCTTTTTATAGTCAACATTATAACTAAAATTGGCTTAAGAAATGCAATTAGTATATTACATAAAATAAGGTTTATATAAGCGATAATACAACCTTTTGAAATACATTAGGTAAATACTTTCTTCGTACCTAATTAATTGCCGTTTTTCGACTTTACACGTATATTAAGATTCTCAATAAATGTGTGTTGAGTTTAGGAAAACAAAATACGGTAAAAAGACTAAAATAGCCTTAGTTATTTAATGATGTGATATGATTGAGTTAATAGTTAGAGTTGAATTAGTAAAATTAACAAGAAAATTATAATGCATTTAATGTAGTTATTATGGACCATATGGAGAGTATATTTATACATACATGTGTATCTATACATGTGCGTATACAATAATATATAAGATATATTACAAATACGTAACTGAGGTAAAGTGTAATCACAAAATAATCGCTATCTACAGTTTGTTAATTTCTTACACTCCTCTGTGTTAATGTAAGAAATCTACAAATTCAAAGGATGAACGTAATTATGAAAAATTGAGGGGTCTTTTTATAAATAGATCTTACCTTAGGAGAGGGTTGTAATATACCCTAAAATATATCTTTCAATACATGCAATTTAAAATTTTCTTTTCATAATTTATAAGTTCAGTTGGATTTTTTTTTGTAAATAAGTCTGCAAATCTGACAAAAAAAAAATGTATGTAATATAATATGATAATTAATAATTTCTTGAATATATTTTTGTTCCGAAGTTACGTTAGCTTAATTTGGAAAAGATTAAATTATTTATTCATATAAACTTACGTTTTGCCATAATAGCCAATGAGAATCCTTCCAAGTTAACTAAATAAACGTGACCATTTAATCATATTTAATGATCAAATAACTTCTGAATTATTTAATAATTAATAGATAATTATTGCAATTTGATGTAACACAAATTAATTCGATTCATATATGATATAACTGAACGTGGATCAAAAGTTTTGTAATTTAATATTTACGGTAAATTCCACTTTCTCCTTGTACTTTGTCTCTATATCACCCCATTTACTCTCAGTTTGCCCCATTGCACTTGGAAAAATTGTTTCAATGTGGCTATCGCTGTTAGTTGTCAGACATTTAACCTTAACAACGTTTGATATAAGCTCTGAAATTTCAAAAACGTCATCTCTCCCAGTTTAAATAATTATTAAAAAAACCAAAAAAATAAAAAAATAAAATAAAAATAAAAATAAAAATAAAAATTAAGACAACGAGAAAAATAGTACACGACGCCAACCACAATTTTTATTATTTTTTTAATTTTTTTAATAATTATTTAAACTTGGAGGGTGGTTTTTTTGGTAATTTTTAGCCTTCGATCAAACGATTTTAATGTCAAAGGTCTGAAAACTAATTGCGATGGCAACATTGAGACAATTTTTCAAGTATAAAGAGGGCAAATCGATGCAATCAAAAATAAAAAATGATAGAGTGACATCGACCTAAAGTACAAGAAGGAAAGTGAAATTTATCCTAATATTTGTTCCGTATATTAAGGAAGAAGGTAAAACAACCAACTGCTTCAACAGTTGTAAAAAGTTCGGTTTGGAAGTCAAATGAAGCTGAAATTGGACAATTAAAAAGACGTGTCATAAACTTCGAGTGCGACATTTGATTATCACTAGACACTATCTTGTGTTGACTTGATGTACAATTTTGTGACAATCAAAATATACATTTATGTAATAATATTTAAGAAAAGGTGAAAATTTCGATCGAGTATTAGAAATATAAAATCTTACCTCAAATATGTTTTCGTACGAGTCGAAATGTTGTGTCCGATGGTCCCAATCACCAACCTTGTCAGGTGTTAATTCGGGCTTTTCCATTATTTTTAAATGGGCCTACATAGCCCAAAAGTGATTCAAGAAGCCCAAGATAAAATATTGAAATATTGATTTTATTTCGAAAAGAGATTAAAAAAGCCCAACATAAAATATTGAAATGCTAATTTTATGTCGAATTTTAATCTTTCAGAGTTTATTCGAATCTACGTCTAATGAACTTCATTAAATATTGTCAACTATCCCATTTATAGCCTAACTCATTTAAAGCCTAACTCATGGTCAACCATTTTGATCTTGACCGTTCAGATTACCTCGTTTAAAAGCGGTCTTCCACAGTAAAACTTAACTATCTCCCATCAATCGGCCTATACTCAGTTTAAATACGTCGCTTCTCTGTCTTCATTTCTCCCTATCTTTCTGAACAGTACTTTCGTCATTAGCTTATCTTTTTTGACAATACTTTACAACATTTTCATCGTGCATGGCTGACTTTGAATTAAGAGCAGTTTTGTTGTCTCCTACGGTCGGTTATGCACCTATTTATACTGCCCTTAGAGAAAAGTAGGACAAATGTAACAGTTTTATAAGTTATTTTACATGTCAATGTGGAGGTGTTAGGTGATTAAGAAAAGTCATGGAGAGTTAGTTAAAAACTCTACTAACCCATGGAACAATGATACCAAAATTAGGTGCTAATTAATTTGCAATTAAATGTTCGGTTCCCTAACTGATGACTTAGGGGGAAATAATGGTAATAAAAATTCAATGCACCACTGTTGTTATTCTACTTTCAATTAATTATTTTTTTGACTTTGTAAGATTGGATAATGAGACTTTTGCATGACCATATCTTAAAGTTTGGCACTTATAATATTCTTTTGGTAATAGTAATAATAATATACATATATACTTTAACTTTAGCTAAAAATCTTAACATATACTGATTTTCAGTTGTAACTTGTAATACATGCATGATTCAATTTTACTAATTACACTTGTATTAATTTGTTTAATTAATTAGCTAAAGAAGATTAATTCACCATGCATATGGGGTCGTCTATGATGCACGAATACAGATACACGGACACGGCGATATAACATTTCTAAAAAAATAGGATATGGACCTGCGTGGATACGCATAAATATTAAAAATATAAGGGGTTTATTTATAAATTGTAAAAAAATATTTATAAGTTGCCAAATCGCATAAGAGAACTGCTCGCCCTTGCTGCCCGTGTTCTTAGTCGCCGTCGCCGTTAGAGTTTTGGACTTTTGGGTGGACTCTCACAGAAGACAAAGGAAATGTGTATTTTACAATTAGGGCTTTCTCTTAAAACATAAGAACCGTGTCCTCGCTTTTTTAAAATTGCGAACACGGGTGTCCTACTTTTAGCGAAATTACGACACGTTCCGACACAGATGTCGGAGCCATGTCCGAGTTTCCAGGTGTCAGATACAGGGACCAGCTTCTAGAAGTGTCCGTGCAGTAGAGGGTGTCATTCTTCTCTAAAAAAAAATCAAAAAATCCATATATACACACATATTTTATTTGCATTAGTATATATTTAGTAGTATTTATGGAGGGTTTGAATCTGACTGTCTCAACTAAATATATATTTAGTAGTATATATATATATATGTTAGAGAGAGAGAGAGAGAGAGAGAGAGAGAGAGAGAGAGAGAGAGAGAGAGAGAGAGAGAGAGAGAGACCATGTAAGGAGGCAGACAAAGATAGATTCTAAGTGGCGGCGGTTGCACCTTAGAATTTAGGTTTCTCTGTCTGTACGTACTTTTGTTATAATTAGTAATTACTCTTCAATCTTGATTTCTCTCTCTCTAAAAAAAAAAAAAAAGAAAAAAAAAT